TCGCCTCTTACGACAAGCATGATCGTCTTTTACAGCAAGCATGGGTTGCTGAAGACCTATTCTACCCCGGATCTTCACGGGTCAGCTAGTAGTAGTACCAAGTGATGTGTACAGTTGCAACACTAAGTATAACGTTATTGTATCTCATAAAATTATAGCCTGAGATACAGTCATTTTATTTAATAACAAATTTGAATTGAAAGTTTCACGTCTTTGAGAGGCATTTAGATGTTGGAGTACTGGTACAAGTATATATTGATGCTTCTAAATGTAATAAAGAAGTTTATTCATGTATCGTATCCTTACTTACAGTTATACATTTTTGTACGGATGAGATAGAAGTTGAAATAGGAAATGTTAGGTTTTGATAAATATTTATGGGCCTGATTTAATAAAACCATTTTTTTAAAGAAATAAGGGCATGGCTGAGAAATAGCTGAGAAACTTGACAGTGAGAAAATTATTATATGTGGTGATTGGAATTTAGTGTTAGGTGTAAAGTCATTAAATCAAGTCTAGAAAAACTGGTCAATGCTGAAACAACGACATGATGCCACATCTGATGTTTTGGTAGAGAAGTGCATTGCCAGTGTCTGACAAATGCACTCCATCTATCCAAAAGTGATCAGGCACTTGCTATAAACGAATATTTCGGTGATTTATGTTTATACCACCATTTGATGTGACAAAGGCCCTTCGCCTCCTTGACTCTGCTGTTGCAACAGTCATTGAGACATTTCCATGCTGCGAATGTTGCCGGGGCAATATGCTGGACCATACTATGTTAAATCTTGGTAGGAAAGTTTGGATTTCTCTCAAATCGTTACATAAGGGCAACGTTTGAAAGGCGCCTAAACTGTTGCCACCAAGATGTAGGACCAGTAGATCCGGCATTAAGCCTTCTTCAGCCAGTTATCGCTGTAACAGCTTGAGGGCATCCTGCCACGTAGCTCCCCTAAGGCTGTTCCAGCGAACAAACACATTAAGAATATTAAAATTCAAACTGTACTCCGAATGCTGTAAAATGAATAGAAAAATAAACTAAACTAATGACGAACCAATTACCAATACAGTTGTTATTATTATTATTAACTTCATACCTTGTAGCATGCACTGACATCGGTCCATATAATGAAGTATGCTGATGATTAAGTAGAAGATTGTGGAATTCTGAAGAAACTGCCTTATACAAACAAAATATTGATAGTGATATTTGTAAGTAATACAACTGATGGTCATGATTGTATAGTATAATGCATCTGTTTTGAATAATTTGCATGAATAAATTCAACATGATGTTGACAAATTATAAAAGATGATTATGAAGGCAAGTTTTATCATGAGCAAAAATATGGTAGATATTCTTGAAACACCAAATACATAATTAGAAAGTAAAATTGGGACAGTGACTGTATTGATTCGGACGCAACAAACATACTCAACGAGTTATCAACATGCAGAATGTACAAACATATTTTGAATGAAATATGCCTAACTCGTCCTTCACTTTTCATATGATTTGCACTGAATCAATATATTGTCTTTATACGCGTCTAGATTAAAGATGAAACACGTTTTCCAGTATGTTAATACATATAAAGTATGTTTGTGTACGGCTACAAATTCCTTCGCGATTTATGAGATCGGACGGGCTAATTAGCTAAATTAGTAATTGCCGCGTGTGGACGGCGACACGTGGGCGACAGTAAACCTGTAGACATGGTGAGATGACATTAACAATGAGATTGGGGATTCTATTCTGCGATATAATAAATCAAAACTAAAAACAGCTAGGCTACAATAAGAAGAACATTATTGTGCATAGCCGAACAATATGTATAAAACGCCTTACGCTTGGACTGACGGAGCGCTGATCCTGGTTGAGAAAGGAGAGGTGAAGGTCATGCCCAAGCGGCCCGGATTTGTTGCGAATGACGTTTTTCTCATTGGCCAATCTTGAAAGAAAGATTAACAGTTTATTCGTACTTTATAAAATTTAATTGTATATGAATACATGTTGATGTTTTTTATGTAGTATTTCGAAACTGAAGCGATTGAATTACACGTCGATGTTAATATGGTTACAGGCTGCATAGGCTCTGCGATTATGTGCAAGGCGTAGAGACGGAGCACAGCCGATAACAGGCAACAACCCAAACGACGTATGTAAGGTAAACTGCGAGTGGTGCTCTATTTGTCTGCCATGTTCACCCTCATATAGCTGGAAGATTGCTGAGTGCGGCGTAAAACAACAAACCAACGAACTAATTGCGTAGGTCGATGCTGATGATATCAATCACAGGATTGTCTGGTCCAGACTTTATTCTATTTTCACAGACCGTCACATATCCGGGATATTGCTGAGTGCGGCGTAAAATAATCATAAAATAAATTGTGTCATTGTGCCCTGACGATATGAATAGGTGCGCATAATATCAATCACCGGATTTTCTGGTCCAGATTGGACAGTTTACAGTTGGAATATTACTGATTGTGACGTTTAACAACAAACTAACACCCTAACATTTGTGTATAATAATACACACGCATCTCAGCGATCAACCACCCGATGTCTGTTTTTCTATAATAATGATAATTCGGTGGTGTATAAGCGACGCCCCGTCTGTCCGTCCGCTCGTCAAAGTCAAAATCCGTTAAATATATTTCAACAAAAATTGGCAGATATATAAAACAGATCCTGAAGTGGTGCCTTTTGCTATTTGCGGATTTTTGGCATTTTTATTTTTCTCGACTTCGATGGAACAATTTGGAGGTTAAGGTTCGTTTCCGGAGCACACCTGGTACATGAATTACCCAGGGGCCGAAGTGGTTCCTTTTGTTCTTTAGGACTGTGACAAATTATAATTTTTCCCTATTTCCATGGAAACAAGTAAGACTTATCTGAAATGGAGTTAGGTCTCGTTTCCAGAGCAGAACTAAATACCTATTTCACATTTTTCATCCAAACATGGTGCCTTTTGTTCTTTTGGATTTTTATATATAAAAAATATGTTTCCATGGCAACAAATTTGACACTGACTATTCATAGTGGTGTGTTTGTCCGGACCGCTTTTCTTAAACCATGATGTATTCTTTCATGACACTTTGCACACAAAAGGATACGGTTGAGAAATGGTGCCATTTGCTACTTGGGGGAGTTGAGAATTTATATTTTTTTCCGTTTCCATGACAACACGTTTGCCTTAGACTCTTGTCATAGTGGTGTGTTTGTCCGGACCATGTCTCCAAAACTAATGGGTACTCTTTCTTGAAACGGCCCGTGAAGATTCGGGGTAGAATAGGTCTTCAGCAAGCCACCCTTTCTGTTATCATAAGCTAATTGTCTTGAATCTGATCACTATCAAATGGTGATGATACCAGACCCATGAGAATTGGGGTTAGATTAGGTCTTCAGCAACCAATGGTCGCCATATGGCTGAAATAATGCCGATACGACGTTACATTTTAACTCACTCACTCAGCAACCAATGCTTGTCGTAAGAGGCGACTAACGGGATCGGGTGGTCAGGCTCGCTGACTTGGTTGATGCATGTCATCGATCCCAATTACGTGGATCGATAGCCACGATGTCAATCACTGGATTGTCTGGTCCAGACTCGATTATTTACAGACCACCGTCATATAGCTGAAATATTGCTGAGTGCGGCGTTAAACAAACCAACCATGGCAACAAGCTTGATTTTGACTCTGTTCATAGTAGTATGTATCTGACAGAAATACAATGTTCCGAACTACAATTCCATGGTATTGTTTTAATAGCTTAATGGGGCGGTCGGGTAGCCTAGTGGTTAAAGCGTTCGCTCGTCACGCCGAAGACCCGGATTCGATTCCCGACATGGGTACAATGTGTGAAGCCCATTTCTGGTGTCCCCCGCCGTGATATTGCTGAAATATTGCTAAAAGCGGCGTAGTGAGTGAGTGAGTTAATATTTAACGTCACATCGGCAATATTTCAGCCATATCGTGACGAGAAGTACATAAATAATACATATATTTATACAATATAAAAAGCTGTCAACGAAGGACAGTACAATAACTAGAATATCACAGAATCTATTTAAAACTAGTTGAGAATATATAAAAGTCATAAATATCAGAGAACACAATATAAAAATGGGCTAGAGATCGCCAGCAACTGAAGATAGATCACCAAAACCATACTCACTCACTAATAGCTTAATACTAAGTAACTATTCTTATATACAGACAGATTAGTTCGAAATTCTCTCATCAAGATAGAGTTATAGTAACAGTCAGATGATTTGTTCTTTCGAATTGTCATTATTATTTATTTATTTATTTTTAATTTTACTTTTTTTTATTTTTTAACTTTTATCATTTATTTTTATTATTATTATTATTATTTTTTTTTTTTTTTTTGGGGGGGGGATTTGTCATCTTATGATGATTATTGTTCATTTGTTCTTTTATTTGGTTGGGGTGGTGTGGGTGGCGGATGGGAGGGGTGTGCTCTGGGTGGAGACGTAATATTCTTTTCAGCTGCAGCTGCAAAACCAGATATGTTTTTTAATTAAAAGTGAACATTAAATAAAGAACATCTTGCAACATCTTGCAACAATGTATTTATTGTCACTGAACCAGCCTGAAGCATCCTTTGGTTCAAATGTGTTTTGGCTTTAGGCGAACGGGAAAGATGTATTGTTGTGTGTGTTTTGCGGTGGGTGCGTTTTGTTTGTTTTGTTTGTTTGTGTTCTTGTTTTTTTTTTTTTTTTTTTTTTTTTTTTTTTTTTTTGGGGGGGGGGGGGGGGCAGTCGAATTTGCAAAAGAATCAATTAGCTTATTAGGTATTTAGCAGTGCACGATGTCACGCCGCCATTGTACTTTATGAATACCTACATCTCACGTGACGAGCGAGACCTCGCGTTAACCCTCCTTCGTGTCAACACACAAAAAGCTGAAAACAGGTCTGTGACCTTAACTCACTGGTGCGTGACGCAACACAATTGAAACGTGTAACTATAAAAGCCACAGGCGACCTGTGTCACTCGCAGTACACTCCACTTCACATCGGCTCATACACTGGCTGTTCACCCGAATCCAGAAAGATGGCGACATTCCTGAACTTCGTACTGGTCATCTGTGTGTCCACATGCGTCCACGGTTTCGACATGAGTGGTCGTATCGACACGGATAAGGTGAGCTCTTGTGTTTGGGCCATAAACGTGTTTTACTTGATTTGTTACCCCATTCGCCGTTTAATGTTAGCGGAGTCCTTTTTCGCGACTTAACAAGTTGAGGAGACGGTGCTCGAACAAATATTATAATTGTCTTGCTTACCTTGCTACACAACAAATGGTGAGGGGCATTTAGAAGTTGAAGTTCCAAGTAAGGATAAGATTTATAAAACCTCTAACGATGTAACTCTGTTATCAGTAGAGGTTCGGTTGTTCTCGGGTAGACCCGTAAAGGAGTTGATCCCCAAGAATGCCCGGATAAACGGGCATTCCAGCTTAAGTATGTCAGTGTAAGCTGGCATTCCGTGAAATTTAACGTTTTATTAACTTGATGGAAACACAATTGTGTTTTGATGATTGTTAAATGTCAGAAGTTTGTTTTAAACATGAAAATTCCATGACGTGAATCGAACCTGCAACCCCGTGTTTCGACACCCTCTGTTTTCCCAGTGAGCTTCTAGGGCAGGTGATGAGATTTTGTTCAGATTATCATGTCATGAATCCATCTAGTCCAGGCTGTTTTTTTCTCTCGCACGCTTTGAGCGAATTAATTCCTTTTATACCGCGATACACTATTGTTTCACTATAAGGCATGTCGATGTTTTCTTATTTTCCTGGTATTTCTTGCATTTAGACGGTGCATATAAGTAGGATATAAACTGCCCCCCTCTCGGTCTTGAGAAAATGTCCGTGGCATGTCTCGTCCTACTGTTTACAAAGGACCCGTGAAGATCCAGTTCAAATAGTTCTTCAACAACCAATGCTTGTCATAAGGGACGACTAACGGGATCGGGTTGTCAGTCACACTGACTTGGTTGATACACATCGTATCTCAATTGCGCAGACGAAGAGGCGAATATGGGATCGGGTGGTCATGCTCGCTAACTTGGTTCATCCATGTCAACGATCCCAATTGCGTGGATCGGTGCTCAATATATCAGTCACTGGATTGTCGATTATTTACAGACCGCTGTCCTATAGCTGGAATATTGCTGAGTGCGACATTAAACAACAAACACACACATTTAAATCCGACCCGACGCTTTCATCAACATCTATCTGAGGCCTCTAGAAAACGATACTTTATAAACTCCAGTGTGTTCGTGTTGCTCTTACACATGTTTGGTTACGTTTACGACATCTATGTACCTCTTAAACCGCTTATAGCAATATGCGTGTCATAAGAGTTCTGAGTCGGGTATTGTAACGCCTTGAGTTTGGAGTTTCCTAAACACTACCTTACTTGTCCATGAATTACAGGCTACAACAAGAATGTACATTAGCATCTCGCTTAACCTAAAATAACGCACCTTCGGATCCGTCTCGTTGAAATATGACTCAGAATAACAACACTCCTTGCACGCAGCACATGACGCGCAGAAACAACTGGTCAGCATACATATTTATTGAAACAAGCCTCGTTAGATTTGAAAATGCTTAAAGGTGCGGGATGAAATGCGTTGCACAGTTAGTTTCAAGTACGTATGATTAGGTTAGACATTGAAAACACTTTGATCAGACTCAAGACCTGTGAAGATCCGGGGTAGAATAGGTCTTCAGCAACCCATGCTTGCAGTAAAAGGCGACTAACGGGATCGGGTGGTCAGGCTCGCTGACTTGGTTGATGCATGCCATCGATCCCAATTGCGTGGATCGATGCCCAAGATGTCAATCACTGGATTCAGACTCGATTATTTACAGACCGCCGTCATATAGCTGGAATGTTGCTGAGTGCGGCGAAAGAACCATCCAACCAAACTTAATCCATTCAACAAAAAGTGTTATTCGGGTTTGCATTGTTAGCCTCGTTGAACGAAGACACACATAGTTAGGTGTCGGGGCCGTAGGGTTGTGGCCGGCGGTTACAGCAGGAGTGGGTTCTCGAGTGCGACAACACGCCTTGACCTTGAAGACAATGCTCACTTGGGCATGACGAGATAGGCTCGCGGACATATTCTTTTCAAGCAGGGAGTGTTTGTGAGGCCGAGGCGAGCTGATATCCAGTCGTACACGTACAGGATGACAATGTCTGCAGTGTAGCCTGACGGAACATTTCTAAAACACCAACCGCCGTGGTGTGGATGGGGTTTTGCTAAATGGAGCATTCACTCATTCACTCACTCTAAAATGCACGTCTACAAAACATGTCATAACATGTTGATCCACATTCGATATACTGCACAGCCACAGCAGGAGAACCAAGTTGTTATTAATATATAGAGACGTTATCGTATCCCAATTGCGTGGATCGGTGTTATGAAGTCAATCACTAGATTGTCCTGTTTAGACTCGATTATTTACAGACCGCCGTCAAATAGATGGAATATTGTCGTGTGCGGCGTTAAACAACAAACAAACAAACAAACAAAGCTTCTTTCAGCGCTGATGAGCTCCTGAGAGGGAGAGATAGAGAGAGAGAGCGAGAGAGTATTTAAAGCCGCTCTTTGGTCCTCTCTTCTTATTAGTGTTAAAACAAGAATACTGGTTTCAAGTCATGTCTGATTCCCTGAAGATTATTACATCATCTGACAGTTACGTCTTCATCTTCGCTCGACTCAAATACGAATTCGTTCCGGTTACCTGTCTTGGAGTAGGGATTGACTTGGTGATGGACGCCACTTGAGCAATAGGTTAGGTGAGGTGAAATGGGGTTAATGTCACGTACAAGATTATTGCACTTATATAGCGACGTTTATGTGTACCCGTTTATACCAGGCCGGACATATGCTATGCAACAGTTTAACATGGATAGCCCACTGAGACACAATACTGACTCTGAGCCAACCAGACCTTGTTTTTTATATCCCCTTTTTCGAGAGTGAGGCAGGGTAACAACAAGTACCATCTTCTAATTTGTAACGTCTGTTTGTATGACACGGGCGGGGACGGACCCCCACCCTACCGGGCAGACGCTCTGTTCACTGGACCGCATGGACAAGATGAAAGTCTAGCTCTATGCGACCTATTTCTCCATACAGCATTTTGCTGCGGTAAAAAGTTGACCCATTTCCGTGAAGCGGACGCAGATATTTGAATTTGACATAAAAAGGCAACATTCATAGGTAAAATCATAAACCTCGTCAATAACTTCTACTTTTATTTAAACTAGTAACCCTGTTTGGATTACGGGTCAGAGTAGATCTTCGGTTATTTTCGTTATTGACACTGAAGACGTGCAACGCTGATCATGCTGGCAACCAATGTGCCAAGCTCAAGATTATTTACAGGGCGCCCTGATTGAGCTTGAATAGCGCCGACTGCGACATAAAGCAAAATTCATTCGCTCTTCTGTCACCACCACAGTACAGCACCATGACAACATCTGTACTACATTTCTAAAATTACTACATCTACTGAAACGAAATCTGAGTTGCTGAAACGCGGAGTACCATATGCCCCTTGATGATGACGACCCTTTGCTAGCACCTTGGCCATGTGCTCGTGTGTTTCCTGTGAATGTCACCGTGAGGATATTCTTGGTTAGAAAAGTGAGTGAGTTAAAATTTTACATCGCATCGGCAATATTGCAGCCATATCGCGATGAGAACAAGGTAGTTACTATACTCAAAGAAAGAAGTAAAGCACACCCCTATTTCTGAACCATGACAAATATTGGGACCAAGCAATAATGAAATATATAAGGGTTTTCTTAACTTTTTTTCTTTGTGTATATAATTAAAGACCTGTCGACGAATGGCAGTAAGGTGAATATCACAGTTTAGATATAAAACAAACCTAAGCAATAATAAATAATTTTTCAGAAGATTAGTTCCTATAAATTAAAGCCAGGCTAGAGACCACCAGCAACCAAAGCTAGACCATCTAACTGGGAATCATGGGGACTTACAGTACTTTTGCTTTCTGCATGATTCCCGGGAAGACTTATGCCTTTACTTTGGTCACCTGTGGTTGTGTGTAATGCTAACCAATATTACAAAATACTAGTTGATATTATTCACTTCAATATAGATGGACTCACGTGCCACTGTCATGGGGACAATAATTTTACACTACTTTAACGCCTTCAGTGGCACAGCCTTCAATAGTCTCAGTTGTTAATAACACCACACTATTTTAAAACAATTCAAAATTCAAAATTTATCAAATAATTATATTTATTTTAAAAAATCGAGAATTAAGCGAGTGTTAGAAAAGTGGTTCGTAGCATCTGATCGGCTGGTCTAGCTCGGTGACATGGTGGGCTGCATGTCATCGAACCCCAATAACGTGGGGACCTCCCCCTAGGTCTAGTGGTAGTGCGTCCGACGGGCCGGGAAGATCCGGGGTTCGATCTTCGGCCGCGTCATACCAAAAGTCGTTAAAAGATGGTACCTGTTGTTACCCTGTCTAGCGCTCGGCATTATGAGGCTTAAACAAGGACTGGTCGGCTCGGGGTCAGTATACTGTGTCTGACTGGGGTATTCATGTTAAACTGCGGCATGGTATCTCAGTGGGCCAGCACTATTAATCGGCATCAGTCCGGACTAGTACAAGCAGCCACACACACACATGCATGCACGTCGCTATATAAGCGCAATAAGCTTGGACGCAACGTTAAACCCAATTTCACCTCAACAACAGCATTGACTTTGCTCGTGAATTATCTTTTTTTTTGTCGATTTATCTGGTCGAGCCTCGACTAGCTGCAGACCTCCCTGATAGAGTTGGGTGCGACCAGACCCATGAAGATGTGGGGTAGAATAGGTCTTCAGCAACCCATGCTTGTCGTAAGAGGCGACTAACGGGATCGGGTGGTCAGGCTCGCTGACTTTGGTGATGCATGTCATCGTATCCCAATTACGTGGATCGATGCTCATGGTATTAGCTGGAATATTCTTGAGTGCGGCGTTAAACAACAAACCACCAACTAAACCAACCTTCGGCACATTCAGCGTTCTTCAACATCGGAGTTGAATCTGACTCGCTTTGTTGTTTGTTGCGTGTTTAACTCTGTACTCAGCTAAACGACGGCTGCCTGTACATAAGGGTCAAGACTCGATTATTTACAGACCACCGTCATATAGCTGGAATATTGCTGAGTGCGGCATAAAACAACAAACAAACCAGACACGTATTTGTGATCGATGACATGCATCAACCAAGTCAGCGAGCCTGACCACCCGATCCCGTTTGTCGCCTTTTACGACAAGCATGGGTTGCTGAAGACATATTCTACCCCGGAATCTTCACGCGTCCTCTGTCTAGGAGGTTATACTCTGTCTAGGAGGTTGACATAGCGTAAAAATATTGTGGCCTGTGTGACACGTAATTCCTATCATGATCGAATTAACTATAATCAACCAGTGTTTTAAGCGAACTCATTGCTGAGTATATTTGAATACTGGCGAGAGTGATGACGTAAATCCTGCTGGGATATCGCGCAAGAAACACAGTAAGTTCCCATGATCCCCAGCGAGATGGCCTAGCTTTGGTTACTGATGGCCTATAGCCCGTGTTTCAAAGTGTGAGAATGGTATTATGGCCAAACATGTTTGAAAAAATCTTTAAATATAAGCTTGCATTTATGACTCACTTGTGAATACATCAGTTTGGTCTCGTCGCTATATGGTTGAAATAATGCCGATGCGATGAATCACTCGCTCACTTACTCCATTTGGATACTATGACATGCAATCAACCGAGTCACCCAACCTGAACACCTGATTTCAGTCTCCCCTGAGTAAGTCGGCTATAACTTACGGGTAATACATACCCTGGTTGGGTGGTTAAAGGACAGACCGGGGGATGGGGGGTGATTTTTTAAACAGAAAACATAAATTGTCCCCAGAATGCTTAAAAATAAATTATGCGTCAGATTGAAGGCGTCTGACACAAAAATTACATTGCTCCATGGTGTTTTACATTTTTTTATTTAGGCTCATAGTTTGAATTATTTTTTGGTTATCTGGTTATGGATATGTAACTGTATCTTGTGTTCCTGACGCATTGGGTCGTCACGCTGTACTTCTGGGATCGGGGGCACGGGTGGCCCAGTTGTCTAAGGCGCCGCGATTCGCTGTGCAGAGTTGCATCCCTTGGGCACGCCAGGAACCTATGATTGTGGGTTCGCATCCCGGTTCGCCCCGATTATGTTTCTAGGTTTGTGGGCACCATACCCGTGCTCGTGGGTTTCACCGAAGTGATCATTAAGCGGACACGCCGCGATATAACTGGAATACTGTTAAAAGCGTCTTTAAACACAACTCACTCACTCACTAACTCCTGGGATCAATGGATACGATTGCTTAAGCCAATGGCCCGGTCCTGATATGACAGTGGTGTCTTTCAGGCGGTCAGGTATTGCACAAACGGTCTATGACTAATTGTGGGATGTTTCTTATCAATCATGTAAAATGGGATACAAGAAGTAAACGACCGTCCTCTCCGTTGCCCGCCCGCAATCTCATTAAAAATCCGATCATAGCGCTCGCCACCAGTACACATAAACTTAGCAGTCAGATTTCATATTTTGGAGCGAGAACTGCGTCAAAAGTAGTTTTCATAGCGTAGATATGAATGAAAATTGCCAGTTTGAAACCCGTGAAGATCCGAGGTAGAATAGGTCTTCAGCAACCCATGCTTGCCGTAAAAGGCGACTAACGGGATCGGATGGTCAGGCTCGCTGACTTGGTTGATGCATGTCCTCGATCCCAATTGCGTGGATCGATGCTCATGATATCAATCACTGGATTGTCTGGTCCAGACTCGATTATTTACAGACCGCCGTCATATAGCTGAAATATTGCTGAGTGCGGCGTTAAACAACCAACCAATTTTGAAACCAGACATTAAGGTCGTGAAAGCTGCTTTCCGATTGGCTAATGTCGAATGTCTGTTAGTGATGTCATGGGTTCGCGTAAGGTCGTTCTGACGTGGTCTGTGATAGGTTGTTGTCCTCAGATCTTTGTGAAGCGGAAGCGAGGACCAAAAATCTGATCTAATGAGAACAGCAAGTCCGCAATTCTTAGGCTCATGTCCCAAGTGTGCTGTTCCACAAACTGTCTCATATTTCACACCCTCCCGACTGGCTAAAGTGTATTTTTCTTTTCAGAATATCTTCGTCATGTCGACACCTTACTATGGCTTGTACGGAATACATACATTCACCTACGAAATCTCCTTCCCCGAGGTAAGTCTTGTATGCTGTCTTTCTGACAACCGACGACTGCAGTGTACTCGGCTGTGAGTGTAGGAAATGGGGCAACTTGTGCCCCCAACAGCAAGTACACTCCGGCGCACTGTTGACTTAGCATAACACCACTGCCACATGCTTGCCGTAAAAGGCGACTATGCTTGTCGTAAAAGGCGACTAACGGGATCGGGTGGTCAGGCTCGCTGACTTGGTTGATGCATGTCATCGATCCCAATTTTCGTGGATCGATGTTCATGATGTAAATCCCTGGATTGTCTGGTCCAGACTCGATTATTTACAGACCGCCGTCATATAGCTGGAATATTGCTGAGTTCGGCGTAAAACAACAAACCAAACCAAACCAAAACTGCCACAGGCCAATTTGCATATGACGTGACCGGAGTTTTCTCTTGTTTGGAAACAAGCGCGCTTATTCTGAAAATAGAACAGACTGGCCTTATGCAAGCCTTTCGGTGCGCTTAACATATTGTTTCGCGTAATTATACAGATATACTACTACAACTGCGACAGTGAGGTGCATGACAATATATCTGTCTGTATCAAAGTGACCGTATAGCCAGCTCTCGGTTGGGCTTCGACGACAGCACGTGGAGCCGGGCAACCAATGTAAACAAAGGATAACTACGCAAATGGAAGTCGATTTTCACATTTTGGGATACTTTCTTAATAAACCGTAACCATTCTTTCGCATTTGTTTATCCAAATGTGTAGACTTGTCAAACATGAAACGGATGAAAAGCATATGCAATATCTTGAATGGACTGTGAAAGATGTGACGAATCATCACATGGCGCTGGCCTGTGGCAGAGGTACTATGCTGGCTGCCGACCACAAGGAACTCTGGGTAGGAGAGTGTCCCAACATTAAACACGATGTCGGATGCACATTTATTGCGAGTTAACGTTTCAAATGTGTTTAATTTTCGTTAGTCTTATATAAACTCAGCTACGTATTTTGATACAATATATATTCCAAATATACTCGTACACAACAACGTTTAGAAAACAAGTACCAACATGTTGATGTAAACTGATATAAATTGCCCATGTTCCGCACCAGGTCTGAATGGGTATACTGATTAACGTAGATAACCGAAAAACTCTATCGTAAACGTGAGATGGGTCACAGTAGTAATGCGAACGGCCGCTTTTTTCACATAAGATTACTTCCCATTTCTTACCTGACAAGCCATGTATTACTGTCCTTGGCATGCTGGGATGTTTTCGTCACGTGACGGTCTTGTGGTCACATGTCGTTCCTGCTTGAAATGGGTACGGATTCCGGTTTAGAATTGGTCTTTAGCAACCCATGTTTGTCGTTTAACGGGATCGGGTGGTCGGGCTCGCTGACTTGGTTGATGCATGTCATCGATCCCAGTTGCTTGGATCGATGCTCATGGTATTAATCACTGGATTGTCTGGTCCAGACTAAATTATTTACAGACCGCCGCCATATAGCTGGAATATTGCTGAGTGTGGCGTTAAACCAACCAACCAACCAACCTACCAGCTACAGTGGTGAAGCTTCCAAAATAGGCCTAGGATGGACATCCAGGGTGATATATGATCCTCACACAACCGCTGGTCTTGATGCAATGTGAGATGACAGAGGCGCCCTTGCCCCCATACAGTCCATATATCTTCCAGAAGGTTCTAGATTAATTACACGTGACTCCGAAAAGCATCTAAATACAGTAGTATGTAAATACAGTATGTAAATACAGCATCTCAGCAGAATGAAATACAATTACAACAATTTAACAATACATTACACTGCCACATAACGATGTACACTATTGTGACGTTTCAGATGTACGGACCAGTGAATCTGTTGGCGTTCCCAAAGAAGGAAATGAGCATGACAATGAATTCCAATAAAGTAAGTTTGATTGTTATAGTGAGTGAGCTGGTCGAGTGCCAAGGTTTAACGCCGTATTTCACCTACATCATGGCGTGATATCTTCGTATTGAAGGAGAAGTGCCTGCAGTGATGCATGATGGCGGTCTCCATGAAACCGTTACCGGTTTTCGTTTCAGATGCGAAATCTTGTTTCAATTAGCTTTCGATGCAATGCAGTATAAATAGCCAGGTGACATATGAGTTATGACCTACAACGTCACGATATGGCTGCAATATTGCCGATGTGACGTTAAATATTAACTCACTCACTCACTCACTATGACCTGCATAGGGGAAGCTTATGGGCTGGCATCATTATCCCGGGGTGGGGGCGGATTCTGGGTCAGTGTAATATGTTTTATGACCCTTCCGCAGAGACTGTCACAGAGATTGGTGACCCTCCCCTGATTCACTCTGACCTCTCCCTCAAATAATAAATGACCGGTCCCTAATTGCCGCATCTTCTCTTATGCTGGTTTTCTCTGGTTTTCCCGCAGAGCTGCGCCGCCGCTAACTTCCACTGGCACCGCACCCTCCACTCATCCGAGCCGAGCTGTCAACACAACGGCGACGACATTTATGGCCGTATGATTAAATGCAACGGTCGCTTCGATCTTACTGACTACAGCGGCGAAGAATTTTACTTCGCCATCTCCAACTGCAACGGCGGGGTAAGTCCTGTTTTGTTTCTTTGATCCGTTACACCGCCGTTTGTGTTTGTTTGTTTGTTGTTTTACGCCGTACTCGACAATATTACAGCCAAATGACGGCGGTCTGCCAATAATCGAGTCTGGACCAGACAATCCAGCGATTGACATCATGAGCATCGATCCACGCAATTGGGATACAATTGACATGCATCAATCAAGTCAGCGAGCCTGACCACCCGATTCCGTTAGTCGCCTCTAACGACAAGCATAGTTGCCTTTTACCGCAAGCATGGGTTGCTGAAGACCTATTCTACCCCGGATCTTCACGGGTCTATTTCGTGAAGACGTGCAAGAAAGCAACAGTAAAAGGATAGCACTAACACTCCATTAATTATTACCAACAAACTGGAAGTGTTTTATAAGGGTGAGATTATTTGTGTTATAAAGTGTAATACACAATATACTATCGTTGACAATGATGTTTTATGTTGCAGGGTATCAAGGCGACTCACTACTTCCTGATGGACGGAATGGAGGTCAGAGCATCAGCATCCTCCCCAGCCTCCGCCTCCAGCACCAACTACATGCTGGCTTTCATTGCTGCCGCAACAGCTCTCCTCCGAAAGTAGATTACGAGCATTCGTAGGATAGTGGACGAACCATGCTCTGTTTTTTTAAATGCTCCCAAGACTCCCTGTTTTTGATTTGCTTTGTGTAAGGCATACGCTTACACCTAAATAAATTTAGAATGTATATCAACCCGTTTTTTTACCTTGTACAGTTTGATATTTTATATGAAAGTACTTTTTAATAAAATACTTAGTTTCACTAAGTCGTGTTTGAAGTATGTTACAGTTCTTCTGTTCATGGCGTTCTGCTCGGGGGCAACGTGTGTAACGTTCTTCTTTGGGTATTGTCTTACCTTTCACGTGAATGTCGAATTACTTTTCTATTATTTTCAAAGCACTCGGGTAACATGGTAGGTGCATGTCTTGTGTTCCCCGCTCCAGTTGCCGGACTGTCATTACATCTATAACATGCCAACCGCAATTTGTAACGCGAATTTATGAATTGGATGTAAGCCGCCATTATTGCACTTATATGAGGTGAGTGAGTGAGTTAAAATTTAACGTCGCATTGGCATTATTTCAGCCATATTGAGACGAGACCAAGTTAATTTCTTCACATTTGAAACATTTGTACTAAAGTTATATTTAAAAACAATTCATGAAACATACTTGAGCATATTTTGCGTTAAATTAAACGTCTTGGCAAGATTGTTTTGACTTTGCCAATCCGAGCACAAGCTCCGAATTATATGCAAAACACCTCAGCAAGAAGAGGAGCACAAATGGTGCCCATGGGGATACCTCCTTCTTGGCTAAAATGACTAAACAGATGTTATGAATGAGGTCCAACATTTCATATAATGTTTTCTCAGTGAACTTCAGATGACACTTGCTTTCATTTCTGACAAATTGTCCTGAACCTGACGTCAATTACACGTACTTCAATTTGACACTGTCCTGAACAAATCTTATGAATTCCATCAGAAAATATATAGTCTTTATAAGAGTTGGCAGTGCAGTAATTGTAACAGGCATTTAAAACTTCACATACACGCACCTGCTGCTGTTCAGATAACTTCTTTGTTGGTGTTTACATCGCCACGGCAACATCACAATGCGACTTTGTTTTCACTATCAATCTACTGTCAGTCACAATCAACGCAATCTTCTCAAGAATGCATGCCAATCTACCCCGATACTTTTAATACATATTCTATTGACTTTGTTAGGCGTAAACAGTTTCTTCAATTTAGAGTATTGTTATAAACGCATGTCAGTTGGTGGAATAACATTTTGTTCGACATTAAACAGGCAATGGTAAATCAAAATCATCCATATTGTTGTACTGTTTGGTACAGAGGCTGCCGTCATTTTTGACTAATGTGCACAGAACCAGGTAAACATTGAATGTGTAACTTCAGTGTTTTCTCTTGTGGACAGATGAGGACACGTTTCTCTCGCTTTTGTATAAAACACTAAACCCTGAACAGTGATTCTTATCTCCCACAAATCTTTTTGTGTTTTTGGAAGAGAATCCTGCAGTTGAACCATAATGTAGCATCTTATCAGCAGACCTTGCGTGTACATAACATCTCCACTGCTGTATTACCACATCTGATATCTACTCTACTGTATAAACATTGCCTCCTCCCTGTATATATACTTGTCAACCACACTCTGTATACCACTTGCTTGATAACGGTGTAAGATTGGTTTGGTTGGTTGGTTTGTTGTTTAACGCCACACTCAGCAATATTCGACCTATGTATATGACGGCGGTCTGTAAATAATCGAGTCTGGACCACACAATCCAGTGGTTGATATCATGAGCATCGATCCACGCCTTTTACGACAAGCATAGTACCCTATTATGGCAAGCATTGGTTGCTGAAGACCTATTCTACCCCGGAATCTTCACATGTTGAGTGCGGCGTAAAACAACAAACCAAACCTAAGCATATAAATATAAATCTGCGATAGCCTACCTGTTTGACTGTCCTTTGTTGATAAGTTTTATATAGTCAAAATGTATTCATGTATAGCCGACGTCACTAACAATTTTATCTCACTCACTCACTCACTGGAGCCACGTTGATTTCTTCTATGTTGGTAAAAACAGCACATTTGGTAAAATATTCACTTTGGAACTCACATGTGTTCCATATTAGAAAAATGACGGACACATTTATATACCGAATAGGTGGGTTTTGAACTACAAGTTAAAACCATGTTCATATGGCTTGCAGCAATAGTGAGTGAGTTGGGTTTGCGCGGCTGTTGCAGTATTCCAGCAATGTCACAGTGTGGGATACCAGAAATGGGCTACACATAATAACATAACATAATGTAGTGTATGTGTGTTTGTTGTTTAACGCCGCAGTCAGCAATATTCCAGCTTTATGACGGCGGTCTACGGGATCGGGCGGTCAGGCTCGCTGACTTGGTTGATGCATGTCATCGTATCTGGATTGTCTGGTCCAGACTCGATTATTTACAGACCGCCGTCATATAGCTGGAATATTGCTGAGTGCGGCGTTAAACAATAAACAACTAGTCATAGATGAAAAACACCATGCTACATGTACCTTATCGGGAAAACCATGTGTACGTTTTTATTTAGGCTTGTTGTTAAACGGACGACTATTTATGTACTGACATATTTGATTCAGGTGAGCTAACACGAGTAACATCGAAAATTGTAAATCATGACATTAAAGACCAAGAAAATATGTATAATCATTAATTCCATAGTTGATCCGGGTAGAGAATAGGTCTCAAGGAACCCATTTTTACCGTAAGACCGGGTCGTCAGGCTCGCTGACTTTTATGATGTCATAGTATCCGCATTGCATGGATCGATGCTCATGATGTAAATCTCTGTATTGTCTGGTCCAGTCTCTATTTTGGAACAGACCGCCGTCATTTACGTTATAACGATTCAAGACCCGTGAAGAACCGGGGTAGAATAGGTCTTCAGCAACCCATGCTTGCCGTAAAAGGCGAATATGCTTGTCGTAAGAGGTGACTGACGGGATCGGGTGGTCAGGCTCGCCGACTTGGTTGTAGCATGTCATCGTATCCCAACTGAGTGAATCGATGCTCATGATGTCAATTACTAGCTTGTCTGGTCCAAATTCTTTATTTACAGACCGCCGTCATATAGCTTGAATAGGGCTGAGGGCGGCGTTAACCAACGAACAAACCGAGAACTGTCTAAATCCCCTTGCGAGTACGGAAGCGTAGTAGGGCAACGATGAACATGTGTTTTGTCTAAGTATCTCCGACGTAGGACTTATTATCTCCTACGTAGGACTTAGTAAGGACTAGAATAACTATCTCCAACGTAGGACTTAGTATCTCCTACGTACGTCTTAGTATGGACTAGAATAACTATCTCCCACGTACGACTTCTAAGTATCTCCTATGCAGTACTTACTATCTCTTTCGTTGGACTTAGTATGGCCTAGAATCACTAAGAAGTCCTACGTAGGAGATACTTAGTCCTACGTAGGAGATAAGAAGTCCTGCGTAGGAGATATTAAGTCCTACGTAGGAGATAAGAAGTCCTACGTAGTAGATACTAAGTCCTACGTAGGAGATAAGAAGTCCTACGTAGGAGATACTAAGTCATACGTAGGAGATAAGAAGTCCTACGTAGTAGATACTAAGTCCTACGTAGGAGATACTTAGACATACTTACTACGCTTCCGTATACGAGTGTATATAACAACGACTGTTATTGTGAAGTACCTTGGTTGTATAAAAAGCCTATACCTATAGCCCTCCAGTGAGCCATCCTCACAAAGCTAGAAAATTGCTGAGTGCGGAGTTGAACAACAAACAAACAAACATTCACTCGCTCGCCCACTTTCGCAGATGCACACATCGCTTCCCATGGACAAGTAACGGAATACATCTCTCGCATGCTGCGGAAGGTGTGCATTTCTCTTTATGTTCAGTTTAATGATGCTGCAATTGATTTTCCATGCCGTGTTCACTGCCTGTGCATTTAAACGCAAGCTTTGTTTAGTGCCCTCTGTACATAATAGGTTGTATTGGAGTGATATGACATAGAAATGTAACCAATTCAGTTTTCGATAGTTAACAAGATTCGGTGAGCTGACAAGGAGTTTCTGCTGAGCAATTCACATGGCTCTTGCGATTTTGTATTCATGACAGCTTGTAAAGGGGGCGTGGCTTACGTCTATTAATTGAGGACTGTCAGGCTAATGGACATATTTCCGTCTGGCTATGAACCTTATTAGTCTTGTGTATTGTATTTTGCCCAACAAGTAGTGAGTTGTTCAACGTTCGCTTGTACCTTTTCCTGTCCCCACAAAACAGGAAAATGCATTTAAGTCTGTTGACCGTTGTCCTAGTTCTGACCTGTGGAGGATTAGGCTGTTATGGTACTTGTTTCAACGCGTCTTCTGTTGTGGAGGAAGATGCGCATATGGGGCTTAACGTATTTAGGAAAGTAAGGTCATCGTCTCTCTATTCCTGTGCATCAGAATGTCTGATGTCTTCAGTCTGCATGTCCTTCAACTTTGAAACCAGGATCCACATCTGTGAACTCAACAGCAACAGCAGTGACCAGGTGGCCGTCACAACGCGGCCAGGTTTTCTCTTCAGTGACATCGACCACTGGCCAAAGGTATTTGCAATATTTCAGATATTCATGTTCAGAGATTCAATATCAAATAGGTATCAGTATCATATAGTTTCAGCTTGTCGTCTGATAACAGATATATCAACCCGAATTAATAAAAGTGTAAGTATCATAGGCTTGCCGAGGGGTTTAAGTTTTAAGATATATCTGATATCAAAATATAGGAGGGTGAGAGACGAGTGTTGATATATGTGATATCAAAAGATAGGAGGGTGAGAGACGAGTGTTGATATATGTGACATCAAAAGATAGGAGGGTGAGAGACGAGTGTTGATATATGTGACATCAAAAGATAGGAGGGTGAGAGACGAGTGTTGATATATGTGATATCAAAAGATAGGAGGGTGAGAGACGAGTGTTGATATATGTGATATCAAAAGATAGGAGGGTGAGAGACGAGTGTTGATATATGTGACATCAAAAGATAGGAGGGTGAGAGACGAGTGTTGATATATGTGACATCAAAAGATAGGAGGGTGAGAGACGAGTGTTGATATATGTGACATCAAAAGATAGGAGGGTGAGAGACGAGTGTTGATATATGTGACATCAAAAGATAGGAGGGTGAGAGGCGAGTGTTGATATATGTGACATCAAAAGATAGGA